TTCTTGGAGATTTGTGAGGTAGCTGTTTGTCATTTCAACAAACCTTCTTACTCTTATTTATGATCTTTTTATACTCTAGAAACAATGTCATATGAGACTTGTATTTTTCTTTTATTCAATTGTAATACTTTAGAGGCTTGTACACGTGACAACCAGATTTTGGGTATATTTTTGAGTTTATTGTGAAATTTCCGCATTTTATTATAATGGTTGAGTTTTAGGTTGTCTTGTCTTGGTGGGATAAGACGAGTGCCATCACGTCCATTTTTGGGTCGTGACAAAATAGTATCAGAGCCCTAGGTTCATAGGTCTCACAGGTGTACAAGTTGAGTCTAAGTAGAGTCTCAATGATCGGTACGGAGACGTCTGTACTTATCTTCGAGGGGCTATGGTGATTTTTAGGAAATATCTTTACTTCTTGAATCTCTATCGTGCATCCTTTGTCCGTTATGATTTTTATCACTTTATTCTGTTCTCTCTCACTTATGTGATGACTCGTGCATAGTTCCTTATGTGAGTATTTGGTGTGTTGTTTATGTCTTGGATGTTAGATTTGTTACAAATGTGGAAGTGATAGACTTATGGGAAATATGTGTTGTGAGATTTTGAATGTTCAATGATTCGAAAAGATTGAGTTAGGTGATGACTTGATTAAGCATTTTCAAAATATTTGGATGATTAGGTTGAACAATGATTTAAGGGACTTCATGAGCGTCTTATATTTTTATGTTTATTTTGGCTAGTCATTTAGTAGTGGGATCAGTACTTGTGTGGTATAAGAAATATATGGAGTGGTTTGACAATTGAAAGTGGAATGATTAAAGGAATGGCTAGATAATGAAGTTTGTAACTTTGCAAAATTTAATTAGTAAAGTTGTGACAACATGTATGGGTTGCTTAGCAAATAATAAAAAAATGATGTTACGTTAATTGAGGTCAAAACCTCTACTATGACTTCACATACTGATTGTATATCAAAGAGGGTCATGATACGACTACTATAATGGTACCGATTCTTACTTGTTTAGAGTTAGATAATGTGTTACTCTTGTTATTGACCTGATCTACTAAGGGATGCATATCGCTTTGGACGAGAGATCGAACAGATTTGGTAGTGTATGTTAGTTACTTAATGAGGCAGAAATGTGTAGGCTATTTGGGTACAATCTTCTCGATAGGTATGATGTGTTCTAGTGGTGGATTTAACAGACTTCACAATGTGGTACTAGTGGTATATGACAATGGATACGTTGATGTCAAGTGCGATTACTAACTACTTAAGGAGTTATCAGTTGTATCACATGCTCATATAATTAGATTTGATGTTGCATTCACGTTTTAGAAACCAACTAGTTTGTTACTACAGAT